ATCAGCCCAGAACTACACGGCAGGACCTGGTCAATGACCTGAAGAGAGCTGGGACCACAGTCTCAAAGAAAACCATTAGTAACACACTACGCCGTCATGGATTAAAATCCTGCAGCGCACGCAAGGTCCCCCTGCTCAAGCCAGCGCATGTCCAGGCCCCTCTGAAGTGTGCCAATGACCATCTGGATGATCCAGAGGAGGAATGGGAGAAGGTCATGTGGTCTGATGAGACAAAAATAGAGCTTTTTGGTCTAAACTCCACTCTGGAGTTTGGAGGAAGAAGAAGGATGAGTACAACCCCAAGAACACCATCCCAACCGTGAAGCATGGAGGTGGAAACATCATTCTTTGGGATGCTTTTCTGCAAAGGGGACAGGACGACTGCACCGTATTGAGGGGAGGATGGATTGGGCCATGTATCGCGAGATCTTGGCCAACAACCTCCTTCCCTCAGTAAGAGCATTGAAGATGGGTCGTGGCTGGGTCTTCCAGCATGACAACGACCCAAAACACACAGCCAGGGCAACTAAGGAGTGGCTCCGTAAGAAGCATCTCAAGGTCTTGGAGTGGCCTAGCCAGTCTCCAGACCTGAACCCAATAGAAAATCTTTGGAGGGAGCTGAAAGTCCGTATTGCCCAGCGACAGCCCCGAAACCTGAAGGATCTGGAGAAGGTCTGTATGGAGGAGTGGGCCAAAATCCCTGCTGCAGTGTGTGCAAACCTGGTCAAGACCTACAGGAAACGTATGATCTCTGTAATTGCAAACAAAGGTTTCTGTACCAAATATTAAGTTCTGCTTTTCTGATGTATCAAATACTTATGTCATGCAATAAAATGCAAATTAATTACTTAAAAATCATACAATGTGATTTTCTGGGGTTTTGTTTTAGATTCCGTCTCTCACAGTTGAAGTGTACCTATGATAAAAATTACAGACCTCTACATGCTTTGTAAGTAGGAAAACCTGCAAAATCGGCAGTGTATCAAATACTTGTTCTCCCCACTGAATGTGCTTTCTTGAGCAGGGGGACCTTGCGGGCGCTGCAGGATTTCAGTCCTTCACGGCATAGTGTGTTACCAATTGTGTTCTTGGTGACTATGGTCCCAGCTGCCTTGGGATCATTGACAAGATCCTCCCGTGTAGTTCTGGGCTGATTCCTCACCGTTCTCATGATCATTGCAACTCCACGAGGTGAGATCTTGCATGGAGCCCCAGGCCGAGGGAGATTGACAGTTCCTTTGTGTTTCTTCCATTTGCGAATGATCGCACCAACTGTTGTCACCTTCTCACCAAGCTGATTGGCAATGGTCTTGTAGCCCATTCCAGCCTTGTGTAGGTCTACAATCTTGTCCCTGACATCCTTGGAGAGCTCTTTGGTCTTGGCCATGGTGGAGAGTTTGGAATCTGATTGATTGATTGCTTCTGTGGACCGGTGTCTTTTATACAGGTAAAAAACTGAGATTAGGAGCACTCCCTTTTAAAGACACCTGGGAGCCAGAAATATTTCTGATTGAGAGGGGGTCAAATACTTATTTCCCTCATTAAAATGCAAATACATTTATTACATTTTTTACATGCGTTTTTCTGGATTTTGTTGTTGTTATTCTGTCTCTCACTGTTCAAATAAACCTACCATTAAAATTATAGACTGATCATTTCTTTGTCAGTGGGCAAACGTACAAAATCAGCAGGGGATCAAATACTTTTTTCCCTCACTGTATTACTGTATATTTCACAGCACATTAATCTAGCAGTTTCAGCACGATGCTAGGCCTAGGTCTACTGTGTGATACTTTAATCATATTTTAAATGGCAGTTTCCATTTTGTCTGTGTTTTAGGGCAGCACTTGGTTGAATTACTAAAACAAAACCCTCGATCTCTTGAGTCCTCTCAATTCATAGGTATGACAATTTCCTGCATTTTAATCTGACCAGAGAGGAAGAGGCAAAGCGAGAAGATTTACTCCGCCCAAAATCTGTCCATGTGCGATAAACAGAGAAGTGGGGATTTTTTTGTATGGAGGTCTATGAGAGTGTCGAATTATGTGAGGCTTATTTGATCAAATAGACCTTTCGTAATGTTTAGGCTGTTACAAATGTACTGATATAAGTGGATGCACGTGGCATTTCTATGAAATATCAAACGTTTGCAAAAATATAGAATACAATTAAAGTGCAGGCAATGCTCCCGAGTGGCGCAGCGGTCTAAGGCACTGCATCTCAGTGCTTGAGGCATCACTACAGACTCCCTGGTTCGATTCCAAGCTGTATCACAACCGGCCGTGATTGGGAGTCTCATAGGGCGGCGCACAATTGGCCCAGCGTCGTCCGGGTTTGGCCGGGGTAGGCCGTCATTGTAAATAAGAATTTGTTCTTAACTGACTTGCCTAGTTAAATAAAGGTAAAAATAAAATAAAAATGAAACTATAAAGCTACAAAAGCTCTGAATGTGTTAATGTCATTGTTAACAAATGCCTATTTGGCCTACAGTATAAATTACTTTCGGCATTTGTTAAAATCGATTTGGAGGCAGCTTCTCTAGCCCGAAGAATAGATTTTGGCGCCATCTTGTGTCAGTAAATGACGAAAATAAAATGCTAATTTGAATTGCAAACTCTGTGCTTTGTATGCCAATAAATGAATGTATTCAGTTTATTAGATATAATTAGGTAATTTAATAATGCGCCATAATTATTTTACACTAATCTAAAGCGCCAGATGTTATGTTTTTCCCATAGGGCTATTTAATATTTTCCCATTGTATCATTTGTTTAAATCAATGTTATAGAAGTTGGTTATGCTATTCTTTATCCATTTCACATTTACTCAGGCTTATAATAACACCTTCGAAAGAAATAAACAGTGCAAACTCAAAAGCAAAAGTCTACTCTCCAGACAGCTTCCAAAATGGTCATTGTTATCTGGGATCCTTGGGACGTCCCTACCCTAAACCTTAACCCTTACCCTAAACATAACCCGTTAAACCCCTGAGGTCGATGTCCGCTCCTCCTTCTGCATCTGTGGTGAAAGGTGACAGAGCTAGAGGGGTGTTTGTCAGACCATGAAAGCCCGAAAATCAGTCTTCTCACAAAATTATCTGTAGCGTCCAAACGGTTTGGCCTACAAACTATTATGGATGGATGAGATTCATGAATATGATGGTGTTCTCCGTTTTTCTCTATGACCCCCATAAGTGTCTTGGGACTAATCTGAAATCCATACAGCCGATCTGCCAACTTCTGTCTGTAGCGTCCGAACAGTTTGTGCTACAAAATAACCCCCCTGTGGAAAGGTGAGACTCTCACAAACACCTACATGTTGGTTGCTTTGCTCTAGGAAGTCCCATGGGCCTCACAAGACTCGTCTGCAGGTCCCACAGTTGACAGTGCATGTCATTGCAAAAACCAAGCCATGAGGTCAAAGGAATTGTCCGTAAAGTACCAGAACACAGTGGCCTCCAAGACTCTTCCTAGAGCTGGCCGCACGGCCAAACTGAGCAATCGGGGGAGAAGGGCCTTGGTCAGGGATGTGACCAAGAACCCGATGGTCACTCTGAGAGAGCACCAGAGTTCCTCTATGGAGATGGGAGAACCTTCCAGAAGGACAACCATTTCTGCCGCACTCCACCAATCAGGCCTTTATGGTAGAGTGGCCAGACGGAAGCCACTCCTCAGTAAAAGGCACATGACATCTCGCTTGGAGTTTGCCAAAAGGCACCTAAAGGACTCTCAGTCCATGCAAAACAAGATTCTCTGGTCTGATGAAACCAAGATTGAACTCTTTGGCTTGAATGCCAAGCGTCACGTCTGGAGGAAACCTGGCACCATCCCTACGGTGAAGCATGGTGGTGGCAGCATCATGCTGTGGGGATGTTTTTCAGCGGCAGGGACTGGGAGACCAGTCAGGATTCAGGGAAAGATGAACGGAGCGAAGTACAGAGAGATCCTTGATGAAAACCTGCACCAGAGCGTTCAGGACCTCAGACTGGGGCGAAGGTTCACCTTCCAACCGGACAACGCCCTAAACACACAGCCAAGACAACGCAGGAGTGGCTGTGGGACAAGTCTCTGAATGTCCTTGAATGGCCCAACCAGAGCCCGGTCTTGAACCCGATTGAACATCTCTGGCGAGACCTGAAAATAGCTGTGCAGCGACGCTCCCAATCTACCCTGACAGAGCTTAAGAGGATATGCAGAGAAGATTGGGAGAAACTCCCCAAATACAGGTGTGCCAAGCTTGTAGCGTCATACCTAAGACACGAGGCTGTAATCACTGCCAAAGGTGCTTCAACAAAGTACTGAGTAAATGGTCTGAATAGTTATGTACATGTGATATTTCAGGGTTTTGTTATATATACATTTGCAAAAATGTCTAAAAACCAGTTTGTCATTATGGGGTGTATTGTGTGTAGATTGATAAGAAAAGAAAAATGTCTTAATCCATTTTAGAATAATGCTGTAAAGTAATAAAATGTGGAAAAAGTCAAGGGGTCTAAATACTTTCCTAATGCACTGTATATATGGACACTGTTTAGTGCCAAAAATAAGGGGTTAAATACATTATCTTTCTTATATCGCTCAGATATAGGACAGACACTTCAGAACAAACTTCCTTTTGATTTTCAGGGGAAGGACTATCTGTTGTTCCATGTAGTGAATCTGTTATTCAATGTGTTTGAATGGGCTAATAGCGGTAAGGCCAAAAATAATTTTTAATCAAATAATTTTTGTATATATATTTTGGATACTTCAAGGGGTCTTAAAATTCAAAATCAAATGGCTAAATTGTCCTTGGTATGACCTTCTTAAAACAATTCCATATAGCTTAGGAGAACTCCAAAGTATCCCGCATAGCACGGACCCTTCCAAAATGGTGTTTGTTCTGGAGAGGGGAAAAACACACTCTTTCCGTCTTGCATCTGGATTGGACAATAATTGTACACGTGCTTTGGCCAGTGGTCTTCAAATTGGCCCTCAAGTTCCCTCTCCTAGCCATTTGAGTTTCAGACACTTGTGCATACCGTGCAAGCCGGCAAGAACTTGAACGGACGTGAGAAGAAAACATTGGTACAATGAAGTCTTTATTCGGGAATCTCGTCTACTGCCTTTTCCTCTTTGTGTCTGATGTATACGGAACGTACCGTTTGAATGGATTCGATCCACTGCAGGTTACTGCTCAAAGTTATGCACAACGCAGAAATCTTGCCCGGCCACCGCTGCGGACGCTCGATCCTTCAGGTAGGTTTCATAGAAGGGTGTCGGTCCCCAGTACAGCTTTCTATTTGTGTTTTGTGTAACGATACACACTGAATAGCACTGGATTGTTAAGCCAAGTAAATTATCAGCCAACATTGAAAACGCGCTTCTTGAATTCAATTATTTGTCTAATCTGATCAAAATCTCGTGCCAGGTACTCGTAGTCTGTCCACGAGAGTTTAATCCGATAATTTCATGCTTCTCATAGGGAACAATTAAAATCGCGTAAAATGCGCACGGTCCAATTGGTTTCATTATAGCCAGTCCTTTTATTGTAGAGAATTGGGTCTGCTATAGGGTTTCAAAATTGCATTAACTTTTTCCCTGGTTTTCCAGAAATCCTGGTTGGAGGTTCCGGATTTCTTGCTTATTGCCTGATTCCGGGGATATTCTAACAGGGTTTTCTGGGAATTTTGGGAAAGTTACCAGAATTTTGCAACCCTAGTCTGCTATGTGGAAACGCTAATAAATGTACTAAGGTACTTGGACATATGCATTCCATGTTCATGCAGTTCAACATGGCAATAATAATTCATTATAGATTGACATTTACCTTCTTTTTATTTTTTTTTTGACATACAATTTCAAAATTGACCAAATTATACATTTATTTGATTTTGCTTTATTGGCTAAACAATGACATCCAAGCTTATAATAAGACAGACACCATATTTGTCAAAACTATATGTGCAACAAGACTACATGCATGTATAAGTAATTTACAACAACATTTTACAAGTGCCATATTCCTCTATGCTTGTTCGAAACGAGCCAAGCGGCTACCAGCTCAAATGTCACTCATGCTTCAACAACTAACTCTTAAAGCAAGCAGAGTTCATTCTCACATCAACAACACACCCAGAACTATAATTCATACAAACTCACATCAAAACCATAGCTATAATTCATACAGACTCACATCTTTCCCATTTGCTGACTAACTAATTTGCTCTACCGCTCCTCCTCTCCTCCTCTCTGGTGGCCCCTAGTTCACGCCAGTGCATACAGGCATAGAGGCTATCACTACCACCACCAGCCACCAGGGATCCACCTGCCCGTGGTTTACCATCAGCCTGTCCCTCTATCTCCACCGGTGGCTTACCACAGACCCTCTGTCCCCTTGCCACCTTACCAACACAGATTCAAAGGGCCAGCGCCACCAGTGGTGTACAACCTATATCAAGACCTTTCACCTCCAGTAGTTCACCACCACCCATTTAAAGGATTTTTTCCACCAGTGAGCCACCACCACAAATTCAAAGGTCCATGTCCACAAACTTTACCTCTGGTACAGCCTAAGCCTACTACAGTGCCAACGACCTCTGTGGTGTACCTACCCACCACAGTTCCAACTCTACCACCAGTAACAACCTTGCAACCGGTGATGACCACCTTGCCACTGGAGGTGACCACCAACCCCGTGCCGCCAACGCTACCGGTCAGTACCCAAAGCGGCGTCATCACCACCACCAGTGTGAAGACAGGTAGAAGCCAGGTTTCCCTTCCAACCCAACCAATCCAATCCATAGTTGTCCATGTCAGCTCTCTCTTTTATTTTATAATAGCACAGGACTACTGTCACATAACCAACCATTCTCATTGATAATTTCATCACATAACCAACCATTCTCATTGATAATTTCATCACATAACCAACCATTCTCATTGATAATTTCATCACATAACCAACCATTCTCATTGATAATTTCATCACATAACCAACCATTCTAATTGATAATTTCATCACATAACCAACCATTCTCATTGATAATTTCATCACATAACCAACCATTCTCATTGATAAATTCATCACATAACCAACCATTCTCATTGATAAATTCATCACATAATCAACCAGCCAGAGAAAAGTATTACAATATATAGAAAGAAATCGTAGGAAATTATGCTATTTGCAATCTAATAATGACAAAACACCATACAATACTGGGGTGAAGCATTCCGGGACAAGTCAAAAATGACTTTCTTGTCCTCCGCAGTTTATAATTTGGAATAGAAAAACTATGAATAACTGGATATACATTTAAATACTCTTCCCTGTATATTAGAAGGATATTTTTTAAACTTATCCTGGAAAAAAACTAATCAGTTTTGACAACAGAATGCTTAAAGAAGGATACTAGTAACAATACAGTTCTGCACCACTTGGATGTCAAAGCTGAATGAAGCCTTGCCATTCATTTTGGCCATTCACATGCCAATCCTGAACTATTGACATAGAAGAACAGTTAAGAAAGGTGAAGGGATACAGTATGTCTCCATGAAAGGCATAATATACTGTAATAACTAACCTCTAAACCATCTGTCTAACTGAAATGATGCACAAGTCATGGCCTTGCGAACCCCTCTTTCATCCCATAACTCTCAAGAAACCAGAGTTGTGCATCCCCTAAACAACCATGTGAAGTGTTGTCCTAATTTGTGTAACTGAATTGTTTCACCTTTCTTCATGGGCACTAATATGAATGAATGTGTTGCTTTTCAATCCACAAACTAGGGCTACATGTGTGTGTTTCAATGGAATAAGTTTGTATGAAATAAACTGGGCTTTTCAGTGTGAACATATGGCCAGCTTGTTAAGAGCTGCAATGCTTCTGGTTTGCCACCAGTGACAGACAATTCGTGCAGGAGCCGTCCCCTGGACCTGGTCTTCATCATCGACAGCTCCCGCAGCGTGCGCCCCGGCGAGTTTGAGAAGGTCAAGATCTTCCTGGCCGACATGGTCGACACCTTGGACGTGGGACCAGAAGCCACCCGCGTGGCCGTGGTCAACTATGCCAGCACAGTCAAGATCGAGTTCCTGCTCAAGGCTCACCTGAACAAGCCCAACATGAAGCAGGCTATCACCCGCATCGAGCCCCTGGCCGCCGGCACCATGACTGGCCTGGCCATCAAGTCGGCCATGACCAAGGCCTTCACCGAAGAGTCGGGCGCCCGGCCGAAGTCGAAGAACATCGCCAAGGTGGCCATCATCGTGACAGACGGGCGTCCTCAGGACCAGGTGGAGGAGGTGTCAGCAGCTGCCCGGGGGTCTGGCATCGAGATCTACGCGGTGGGGGTGGACCGCGCCGACATGACCTCTTTGCGGCTGATGGCCAGCAACCCTCTGGAAGACCACGTGTTCTACGTGGAGACCTACGGCGTCATCGAGAAGCTCACCTCCAAATTCAGGGAGACCCTGTGTGGTATGACTGATCAGGGTGGAGGAGGAGGAGACCAGTCTAAACCTTAAACGTTGGTTTTAGTCCTAGAATGTGTAGGGACCGCGTACCGTCTACAGGGGTGGTTTAATCTGTGTTTCTCTTTAGCACTTCCTTAGTGTCAATTATACACTGACAAAATGGTAAAGAGAAAAAACAGACCTCACATGGATTAAAGGTTTATATACCCTGGTACTAGATTCCAGCCCATTGGAAAGTAGTTCGGCCATTTGGTCTACTCTGGGCTGGTTTCCCAGATTTAGATGAAACCTAGTCCCAAATTTAAAATATATTTTAATGGAGAATCTCTTGAAAGTGCCTCTTAGTCCAGGACTAGGCTTAATCTGGGTCTGGGAAACCCGCCCCAAGAGTTTAGGGCAGTCTTGGTCTCTAGTGAACAGAGTCAGGTATGGTTCCCCAAAACGACAGAGATCTTAGTGAGTAATGGACAGGATGGTCCTTCGACAAGTGCAAGGTGATTGAGAGGTAACTGCTCATTAACGATTGACCAATGAGAAATCAAAGCATCATGCCACACAGAGATTGCTTTGAATCCGTCAATCCTACTGCTTTGTTTAAAATGATCAGAATACTGTTCTAAAAGCTTCTTCAAAGTAATTTTGAATAGTAAATATACTACGATTTTCCTAGTCAGATTTATTTGTAATGTACAAATATTTCTTTAAACTTGAATGTTGTGTACATTTTAATATTGTTTTTAAAATATATATTTTTATGTTAACATTCCCCCTTCTATGTTTGCAAAGGACCTTGGCTGAGTTGGTGTTTGGTCCACCAGCTGTCCAGTCACATTAGGTGGCCTTCAGTGTATAGCTGGACTTATGTCAATAGTCTATTGATGTACTTCCATACACCTTTTTGAAGCTTGGAACTCAGACAATACAACAAACAGTCTTTTGCATCCACAATTTCATCAAACAGGCTATGGCAAAATGTCTATACCTTCTACTGCACTCACATGCATATGCTCAAAAACATGTTGTCTTAGTTCAGTTTGCTATGGTATCTATACTTGTTATGCTATTTATACTATATACAGAAATTACGTTTTCTTAGAGAAATTAGATTATAAACGACCAGCGTTTATATATGGTAAGTATGTTTGATAATATGGCTTCTTCAGATCACCTTTGAATGCATACAAGCTATAACCGTTCCAAACTTGCCAGCCTATGAAATTGTACCATGCTGCTATACGTGTAGCTTGATGGCTCCCTCACTTAACCCCGACTTATTCCAGGTTGGGACCCCTGTGACATGGGACACGACTGTGAGGACATATGTGTTAGCAGCAGCAGCAACAACTCCTATCACTGCAGGTGTCGGGAGGGGTATCTCTTGAACACGGACAAGAAAACATGTTCCCAGAGTCAGAAACGTAAACCTCCCCATTTATGTTTGCAAAGGACCTTGGCTGAGTTGCATTGAAGGTGTATGGTCCAACAGCTTTCCAGTCACAGTGTATAGCTGGCACTATGTCAATATATACTTCCATACAGCTTTTTGAAGCTTGCAAATATTGCCACTGGAACTCAGACAATACAAGTGTCCTTTGCATGCACAATTTCATCAAACAGGCTATGGCAAAATGTGTCCCTATACATATATGGACTCAAAACATGTTATCCTAGTTCAGTTTGTTATGGTATCTTCACTTTGAAATGAGGGTTTCTATCAAATTGCCATCCAGGAATGAAATTGAATAAATGGGTTATAAATGACCAACAATGCTATCATTACATACAGTGTGGTAAGTATGTTTGATAGTATGGCTTCTTCAGAGTACTACCCCAGATCACCTTTACTTAGACAGAATGCTTATATATATACAAACTATTACAGTCCCAAATATGATGCCAGCCTATGAAATTGTACCCATGCTGCTAGCTTGTCAGCTCCCTCCCTTAACCCCGGCTTATTCCAGGTGTGGACCCCTGTGCCATGGGACACGACTGCGAGCACATATGTGTCAGCGGCAACGCGTCCTATCACTGCACGTGTCGGAAGGGCTATATCTTGAACCTGGACCAGAAAACGTGTGCCCTGAAACGTAAGAGTCAGTAGGCTAACTGTGGTTGTATTATAAATATGCCTCCTTGATATAATTATAACTGTATGTTGAGTCTGCTCAGATGCTCCACCCGTTATGAATGGTGATCACAGAAGATCCCTAATTTGTTTGTTTTCTTATAAGCAGAACATGAATGACAAGTCTTCATTCAGCTTTTAAAATCCAACTGGTGCACAATCAATATTACTTCTTGATTCACCATTGGTGTTCCATTTGCAGAACACTTTGTAGCACTCGCTAGGTTGCTTCAACGTTGCTGCAACGTTGTCATAGCATTGTGTTCCTGTCATGGCCATGCAAATGGAACCAAACTCTCTGTGCTGTTCGTCTTGCCTACTATAGAACACAAGAGAGCAAAACCAGGATAGGTAAGGGTTGAGTTTTTGGGTATGCCTACTGCTATAAAAGAGGATCAGTTGAACCTAGGTAAAGTACTTATACAGGGTCATGTTTAGTAGGGAGAAAATCTTCCAGGCACTACCTGATCTAGTCCAATAAGAACACATATTTACATTTTCCGGTGCAAAAAACCTTTTGCTACGGTGTGCTCTACTGTACACAACCTTGGTTTGTAGAAGTACAGTTGCATGCCCTGCTAGTATAGGGAACTCAACAGTATACCAAGATTAGTTAGGAGCTATTGAGTGAGAGGCTCCTCCTGTGTTGTCTATGTACAGACATTATGTAATCTTTAACACTAACGTGACATATTGCTCCGCCCCAACATGAAGAGGTGAATGTGGTGGTGGTGGAGGACCCCTGTAAGTGTGAGACCAGACTGGCTTTCCAGATGCAGACACAGGCCGCACTCCAGGAGATCACTGCCAGACATATCCTTTCTGTTAGTTCACAGTAGGAAAATGACTGACCGCAACACTCAATATAGGCTGAAGACTCAGTGGTACTCAGTGGTATGCCTCCTTCAAAGCAATTCATGGGTTATCTTGAATGCCTGTATGATTGATGGGATAGGTTGCATGATCTACCATGACATTATGGTGTTTAGATTTGTGGAAGCAAATACTACTTTGTCAACTGAATAATCTGATGTTGTAGATGAATTGTGTATATATATATATATATATATATATATATATATATATATATATGGGGGGGGAAAGGTTATAAATATGAGTTTTTCAGATGTAATTGTGTTTATTAACCTTTAATTCAAGTTTTTAGCTTGCTCCTAATGTTTTACCATGAAAAAGAATTGCCTTTACTCTTCTCACTAGCTGACATGACAGGAAGAGTGGAACAGATTGAGAACATTTTGGGTCCTGTCTAAGGGGAGGAGGAAACGGTAAGTAACAATTCCCTGTAAGGAAGACTGTAGGTTAAACCCTTCCAAACCTGACCTCTGTATATTTGTTTACCCTCAGCAGGGTCAGCCAACCTCCGATGGCCCCGCAGCCAGCCGTCACAGTCATGGACCACTGCAACACAGGCATGTACTACTACTGCTGTCCTCCGTCATCACATCAGCGGATATCGACAACAACAGACAGTGGAACTTTGGATAAACAGCACTGCAATGGCTAGAAGGAAATAACGTCAGTCCATGGTGCTATAAACAAGCTGTTAGACATAGGTCAGGACTGTATCAAGGAATTATGGGGGCTATCGATTGGCTAAGGGTGTCAGTCTGTCCATATCTGAGCATCTGGTTCCCACGGAAACGTTACAGTATATGTCGGTGTACACATTAGAAATGTGTTAAATGCATTTATTGTATTAATACATTTTCATCAAGTCTCTGCTTCAGCTAACACATTTGAAATGAGTTTTTGTTTTTGGAAGTTTATTTTAAGTATATTAAAAAAAAATAAAAAAATGTTCAGTAGGGACCAGTCAGTGAGGGTCATTGCTTTTAAGATATTGTTTTATTTTAACAGATGGTTGAAATGTTATACTATATGATCATTTCTAATCTGGTAGAAATATGTCATTAGTTTTTTATGCTCTCCATATAAGGTATTTTTGTTAGGTTGTGTCGGTGCAAAATGTTGAACGCTATAATATGGGGAAAATGTAAACCCCCATGTGTGCTGTGTACATCAGGATAAAAAATGGTATGTTTGTCTGAAAAGTGTACTAATGTACTGAATATGTGACAATAAAGACCAGGAGAGGAAATTATTTTGCACAGTGCCTTTATCCATCCAACTACTTGATGAATATTAAAGGGAAAGTTCAGTATTTTACAAGTTGTTTTTAGATTGTTTCTCCCTGAAAGTAGTCTAGACCAGGAGAAACAGTACTCAATGGTTCAGTTCTTTAAACAGCCTCTAAAAACGTCATCTTACTTTAGCCACCACTAGCTAAAAATCAATGGGGGTAATAGGAGCAACTGTGAACTTCCCCTTTAACACATGAATACTGAACATGGGTCAAGTTAGTAGTTAAGGAGAATATACACTCAGTGGCCAGGTACACCACCCCGTTCAGGAAAATAGTTCGCTCCTATAGACAGTGAGTCATGTTGCCTTGACTTGCTATATAAAGCAGGCAGACAGGCATCGAGGCATTCAGTTACTGTTTGATTTAACGTTAGAATGGGCAAAACAAGTGACCTAAGCAACTTTGAGCATGGTATGATCGTCGGTGCCAGTATCTCAGAAACGTCCGGCCTCCTGGGCTTTTCACGCACAACGGTGTCTAGGGTTTACTGAGAATGGTGCGACAAACAAAAAACATCCAGTCAGCGGCAGTCCTGTGGGCTCGTTGATGAGAGAGGTCGAAGGAAAATTGCAAGAATTGTGCAAGCTAACAGGCGGACCACAAACAGGCAAATAACGGCACAGTACAACAGTGGTGTTCAGAACAGCATCTCGGAACGCACAACTCGTCGGTCCTTGAAACGGATGGGCTACTGCAGCAGACAACCACACTAGGTTCCACTCATATCAGCTAAAAACAAGAAGAAGCGGCTCCAGTGGGCACGCGATCACCAACACTGGACAACTGAGGAGTGGAAAAATATTGCTTGGTCCGATGTATCCCGGTTCCTGTTGCGTCATGCTGAGTTAGGATTTGGCATAAGCAGCATGAGTCCATGGCCCCATCCTGTCCGGTGTCAACGGTACGGTGGTGTAATGGTGTGGGGAATGTTTTCCTGGCACACATTAGGTCCCTTGATACCAATTGAACAAAGCTTGAACGCCACACCTTGTAGAATCCATGCCCTAAGAATTCAGGCTGTTCTGGAGGCAAAGGGGGGTCAGACCCGGTACTAGATGGGTGTACCTAAAAAACTGGCAACCGAGTGTATATATATATATATATATATATAAGACACCAACATCTCAGATTCCAAACAAAGAGTCACACATATCTTTTTAGAGTGGCACATACCAAGTTTAGACCCGCACTCTGACTATTGACTATCTGCTGGTAGCAAGTGCATTACTTATGTACATAACGGTATTCACATTTTCGATCCACACTGATATAATTCTGTGCAGTACATGTAGATACAAAAGAAGCTCTATGTGGTATTTGTTATATAAACCTGAGCTCCCTACGCTTAGGTGTCAGTATAGCAAGGCAGATATTTAGTTCCAGCAACGATATTTATGTTAACACTGTGTTAAAATGTACTCTGGCTGTATGGTAACAGTGAGACCTTTCAGAAACGTATTGGAAGAAGGGGAAGGATCCTTCCATTTCTAAAACTACGGTACCAGTCAAAAGTTTGGACACACCTACTCATTCAAGAGTTTTTCTTTATTTTTACTATTTTCTACATTGTAGAATAATAGTGAAGACATCAAAACTATGAAATAACACATATGGAATCATGTAGTAACCAAAAAAGTGTTAAACAAATCAAAATATATTTTATATTTGAGATTCTTCAAATAGCCACCCTTTGCCTTGATGACAGCTTTGCACACTCTTGGCATTCTCTCAACCAGCTAGTCACCTGGAATGCATTTCAAGTAACAGGTGTGCCTTCTTAAAAGTTAATTTGTGGAATTTCATTCCTTCTTAATGCATTTGAGCCAATCAGTTGTGTTGTGACAAGGTGGGGGGGCTATTTGGTAAAAGACCAAGTCCATATAATGGCATGAACAGCTCAAATAAGCAAAGAGATTTGCTGCAATTTCTGAGGTTGGTAACTCTAATGAACTTATCCTCTGCAGCAGAGGTAACTCTGGGTCTTCCATTCCCGTCGCGGTCCTCATGAGAGACAGTTTCATCATAGCACTTGATGGTTTTTGCGACTGCACTTGAAGAAACTTTCAAAGTTCTTGAAATTGACTGACCTTCATGTCTTAAAGTAATGATGGACTGTCATTTCGCTTTGCTTATTTGAGCTGTTCATGCCATTATATGGACTTGGTCTTTTACCAAATAGGGCTATATACCCCCCCACCTTGTCACAACACAACTGATTGGCTCAAACGCATTAAGAAGGAAAGACATTCCACAAATTAACTTTGAAGAAGGCACACCTGCATTCCAGGTGACTAGCTGGTTGAGAGAATGCCAAGCGTGTGCAAAGCTGTCATCAAGGCAAAGGGTGGCTATTTGAAGAATCTCAAATATAAAATATATTTTGATTTGTTTAACACTTTTTTGGTTACTACATGATTCCATATGTGTTATTTCATAGTTTTGATGTCTTCACTATTATTCTACAATGTAAAAATAAAGAAAACCCTTGAATGAGTAGGCGTGTCCAAATGTTTGACTGGTAGTGTATATCATTCATGGATCCAACAATGCAGGAGTTTGGAAAGAGTTTATAATATTCTCTTCCTGTTGAGTCTCAGTGAGCGCAGTTCGACCATAACCTGCAATACAAATAACCATTCCAAAGAGCGCCTTCAGATTTTTTTGGCAATAGTCAAGGTGCAAACATGCCGTGAACCAGTTGCATTGAAGAGGACCCAGTTCAAATAGAGGTCACATGCGGTTGAAATGTGGTTATACAATGGAATGTATAATTACCTTGTTCTAATGGACTCATTTGAGCACAAGTGCCACCCAAATAACTTATTTAAACCACGTGACCTCTATATTTGAACTGCGGCTCCTCCTCAAATGAACTGGGTCACCGCATGTTCTTTTGACACCTCGCTCATCGCCAAAAGAGCTGAAGAAGGCGCTCAAAATCTTCCCTCTGGAATTAGTATTTGTTCATTTGTCTGAATCAGAAATACTGTTGATCTGTCTGCTATGTCTGTGTGAGGTACTCAGTCAAACATTTACCTCAGGTCTGGTTTGGATCCTTTTACTGGCCAGCTGTTTTCTGTTTGCTTGCTATTTCAGTGGCTACACGGTCTACAACACAGTCTTTGTCAAACAGTGGCAACCGTAAAAATGTTTCCCTTATACTTAGGTGGGAGGGAACACACGTACATACACTCACATGCACGGACACACACAGACGCACGGACACACACACATACACTCAACTTTGGAAACGTTTTACGACAGCCATAGGTGATGCAGCACAGATCTCTTTAAAATCTAGGGGTAACACTGACATGGCACCCCTCAAAAGACACAACCTTCAGCCTTTGACCCACATACACCCAAACTAAGCCAAACCCTGATACCCCCAAGTGGAAGCCTACTCCCCCTGTCTACTATTCAAAACAATACAAAGTGCAACGCCTCAACCAGTCATCAACGATGTCATGCAGGGTTGAGGTCAATTCTATTTCAATTCAGTCAATTCAGGAAGTAAACTGAGTTTCCAACTTGAATTAAAATACAATTGACCCCAACCTTGATGGTAAACATTATTTTATTTCAAAACCATAATGTAAGTATTGTCGATTCTTCCTCTCATTCAACACGCCTAACAGTTCGCCAAACAGTTTACAGCTATGGCTGGATGGTAGTTGTCAGTGATATTGATTTATAACACAGTTCTTTGATGGTGAGGGGCTGATTGATGCCTGCCCTGTTTCTGCCAGACCATGAGTGGACTTTGACACTATGTGTTAATTCTCACAGCAAACGACAATGTTTGGGGCACTGGAAAAATGCACCAGTTGCCGGGTGCCCCACCCCACACACACATCCCTTCCCTACGGTGTAGACTGAGGCCAACATGCAAAGAGCAAATATGAAAAAGGTGATGGCTGAATGAGCATCGACATAGTATTTGAAAGTAGTGGTAGTAGATATTTTCTATCAAAGTAGCATGTTAGTTTTCTGTTGTGCGTTAGCCTTGGCTACCAGGACAACCTTTATGTCTATATGCATTTTGTACATGTAGACATGCCTGTCTATAGGCTATTTGTTAGAGGCTGAATCCTGTGATGGAATCCCCAGCTATAGGAATCCGACTCGGGCTAACACAGTGTGTCATTGTGTGCTATTGTATGTTATTTCAGCAGTCTATACCCCAGTGCCTTTCTCCCCTCCTCTGTGTGTCTCCCCTTTGATCTGCCTGAACCCAACCACACACTCTGAAGGTAGATGGGCCGTAAAGGAAGTGGCTACTGAACAGGCCGTAGTTCCTTAAGGCACCGTTTTTTTTACAAGGAGGACACGTGACCTATTGACCCGGGAGATCATTCTGGGAATTTCTCACCTAGAAAAAGTCTGCTCAAATTTTCTCTGTGAGCGTCCTTTCCTGAGTGTAACATTTTAGTCTGAGCTTCAGATGGATGCAATAGACCATGTTACAAATGGAAAACATCTGTATTATACTGATGCATACTACCGAATTATGATTTGATTGCTCAATTGCAATTTGCAATAGAGAGCAATAGTAATGGCATCTTTTTGTAGGCACTAACTCAGCCATGGTTAGTTGGACATAGCCTATGGGGAAATTAATGGAGTTTTTGTAGGGTTTTAGGATAAATGTCTGTGGCAAACACAGGCTTCATAATTCATAAAGGTCATTTTAACTGACTGCTATTATCTCATAGAACAAAATGTCTTAAGCCTGTGTTAACCTCTGACCATATTTTAGGCATTTATTCCAAAACCCTACTCTTTCCCCATGCATGGAAAAGATGGCAGAAGCGGATGCTGATGTAGATCTTGAATTTAATGGCGGTGGAATCAAGGAGAATTGGACTATTGTCCAAAATAACCAAAAACTGGGCAAAGTAGCGTACAGTGCTGAGAATGGCCCTTCTTATCTTGTAGGAGTACGGTTTATTAATGAGAAGCAACTGATCAGATTACCAATCTTGAAGAATCCATTTGAGAGATCCAAACTGGTGGAGTGAGTGCTGGGTAAAGTGAAGGCTGTGAGGATTACAAGAGCCGGGCTTGTTTAGATTTTTTGTACTTCTGAGGATCAGAAGGAACATGTGTTGCGTCTTACCCGATTTGAGAAGTTTGACGTGTCGTGTGTGTCTCTTGGGACAGGGCACCCCTCGAGGGGGTAATGTCTTGCGTCTCGTGGGAAGTCAATGTTACAGAGACAAAAAAATATTCCTGCAGTGACTGATGCACATCGGAAGAATTGTGTGGTGAATGAAGAAAAAGTGAAGAGTCTATCTGTTCTTTTGTTTTTTGATATGGAGTCTCTCCCTACTCAGGTGCAGTTGGGGTATATAAACTACAGAGTCCGATAATTTATCCCAAGACCAATGCAGTGTGATCACTGTAAAGCTTTTGGACACGTTTCAAGTGTTTGCAGAAGGGAGAAGCAGAGATGTCCAAGTTGTGGAAAAGATCATATCATGTGTTTTAAAAGTGATGAAAATGTGACATGTTGCAATTATGGTGGGAACCATGAAGTCACATCTTTGGAATGCCCAACAAGGGTAAAAGAGAAGGAGGTGGCCAAAGTCAGGGCTTTCCAGAGCATTTCATATGCAGCGGCTGTTAAAATGGTTGCGGGTTCGAATGGTACTCCTGAAGAGTCCATGGTGGTGGATAGGCCTTCACTGCAGGGGTTTGCTTTCACCAGCAGGACCCAGATATTTTAAAGGTTAAGAAAGTGGACTTTGTGGCCTTTATAGCTATGGTGATTAATGGCACTGCCAAGGAGGAGAGGTGAGTCCAGGAAGATAGATATCATTGTGGATGCGGCAGAGCAGTTCCTGGGACTGAAAGGAGTTGCATGGAGTATTGTCACAAGCCGTACCACCCTCTCAGGTCCTAGAGCAAAGATTGGAGTTTTGAAACTGCAGAAAAAGTGCAGTAACTGCAGTCGACTGTGGTATTTTGTACGCAGTAATTGCAGAATAACTGCAGTATACTGCATTTGAACTGCAGGTATACTGCACTCTAACTGCAGTTACACTGGAAAATTACTGCAGTAAAAAAAAACTGTGTTATTTTGGATGCAGTATTTGCAGCATACTGCAGTTATACTGCACTCTAACTGCAGTTATATTGTAGTGTACTGCAGTTATACTGCACTCTGACAGCAATCTTTTTCATAAGGGCTAGAAGGGAAATATGGGGGTTTGAAGGAAGGAAGAAGTGAGAGTTTTGTTTTTGTTTTTGTCAATGTACTATTTTTGGGGGGTGGATTAAGTTAGTTTTCTCTATCACGTATGGACTTTCTTTTTACATCGTTTTTTTTTTACCGCGTCCAATTGGTGGCGTCAATACACCTTTTTGGTTTGTAGTCCGCCATAAAAACTACAGAAGAAGAAGAAGATTTTCCCCATTTGATTTTTCCAATAGGGCTGGCTAAACGAACCGGAGGTAACTCATTTCCGGGTTTTAGGAATACAAGCTGGCGAACTCTATATCACATTAATTAACTGACTGCTAATGTATAAGACATGCACATTAGTCAGCAAAGTACAACAAATCTAATAGAAAAAAATACACCAATGATGAGGGGAAAAATCATAGGAAATCATAAGAATATGGACACATAATCAACTAATAATGTGGTCAACTCTGCCACCTTCTGTTTTTACAAGAAAGGAAAATAGGTGACCATTTGATTATATTTAAATAGCTAATCTATTGAACAGTTATGTACAATAAATATGGTGTTTATTTAGTAATATAATGTAGGATCAATAAATATGTTAACCGTACATGCTACGTTCTCCCTTGCGTCAACACGCACCAAGCATGTTAACTCATTTCCGGTAAGAATTGCTGAAGCAGAGAACAGACAGATTTCTAGATTTCCACCCAAACATTTTATACATTAAATGGAACAAGACAGCTGTCAAACTCTTGAACGCGCCAATGTTGAGTTTAAAAAACGTAATTTCAAACAGGCAGAAGAACTATATACAAAGTTCCTCGCATCATGTTGGCAAACAAGGTAACACATTGTCATTGACATCATGTGTGAATTCCATGCAGATTTAGCTATTTGGAAATACATTAGCTAGCTAGCTAAATGTTAACATCCCTCTTTTACCGTGCATTTATTTCAGAAAATGTGATGCCAGTGACCTTGCTACTGCTCTCAACAACCGTGGGCAGATAAAGTACTTCAGGGTGGATTTTCGTGAAGCAATGGAGGACTACACTTCTGCAATTGAGGCCAACTGCCAGTTCGAAGTACCATTCTACAACAGAGGACTAATACATTATAGATTAGGTAATGAAGTGGCTACAACAGACGAGATTGTAAATTCCAATGGTGAAAAAATGTCATGCAGTGCCAATTTCAGTCACTAGATGTGGTTGTTAGTTCATCCATTTGAACAAACTTGTGCTGGCAAGGCAGTCTTGCTAGTTTTCCTTATGTGAAATGTTTCAAGTTGGCTGGGGTATAATCATTACGCCGATTGTTGCAAAACGTTTTGTGGAAAACTTAACACCAAACAGAACGCAAACGAGAGTTTCTATTGGACAAATGCAGGTGCTCCATCCTCATTTTTGTTCAGTTTGGTTCTTAAACGGTAAACTGTTTAAGTAATGAATACACCCCTGGTGAATTGAATGGATACATGTTTTACCTTTTGTTGCAGGTTTTTTCCAAGATGCAGAGATGGACTTCAAGAGGGCCCTAGAACTCAACCCTAACTTTGAAGATGCCAAAGTGAGCTTACAGCAAACATTGTTGGACCAAGAGCACAAGATCAATAGGGGATATTGAGAATGTATTAGGTCTGCCCTTATCTTCAGTCATCAATCCAATCTCAACAAAGTAGTTGCCAGTATGTCTGCAATTTGTATAAGCACAAAAATGTGTCCATGTATGATACTGATGTTTTAAGAATGTTTTTCTTGATATGTAAATTCACACCATAACTCCAGTGTTTGACAACAATGAACTCCGATGCACTCATACTAATGAAGAGGATAATGATGTAATGTGTACAACACGTTTTTTTTTATGCAAATAAATTATTCTGTGATATAATTTGATGCAAACCATAATGGGTTTCTGTGTGGTAGTTTGATGCTAGTCTTAAAAATACAATCCTGAACACCATAAACTTACGAATATAAGTATTAATCCGTATTGCTTCTGGCTCCCACATGCTAGGTCAACAGTGTGTACAGTATTCAATAACAAGCTCCAATTCTGTTATTTAAACCGTTAATTGGTAACCTAGGGTCAATGCGTTTTTGGTGTGCAATATACAACATGCAGAAATGTGATTTTTCTGAATGAATGAGTAACAGTGTTGTACTCGAGTCCACGACTCGGACTTGACTTGGACTCGAGTCACAATTTTCGTGACTCGACTCATACTCTACCATCCTTACAATGTGCAACAATTAAACAGAATGTACATTTAAAAAATGGTTGGACCCAGTGCTTGACTTGAATTGAAATAGGTTCCGGTACTCATTTTGGGAGCAGGTAATGTTTATGTTTAGGTGCAGGCACTCTACAATACTTTGGAGCTAATATTCTATAAGAGGAACAGGACCTCAAGCAGTAGAACATTTGAGGTGCTGATATTCAGCTCCAGTGAGCTCATGCCCAAGTCAAGCACTGGTTGGACCGCAGCTTTTAGCACTACCAAGGGACTCTTGACTCAAGTATAAAGGACTCGGATTTGAGGTTTAGTGACTTGACTACATCATCTTAGGCTGCGTTTACACAGGCAGCCCAATTCTGATATTTTGCCCAATTATTGGCAAAAGAGCTGATCTGATTGGTCAAAAGACATATTACTGGACAAAGATCAGAATTAGGCTGCCTGTGTAAACTATTAACGCTATTATTGAAATAGGCCAGTAAAACCGATTTTGTCTAGAAGGAATACAGCTTTTGTCAAAATTGACTTTTCGTAGTAGCTTTAGGAGAACTTACGCAGCAGGTTAGGATAATTAATGTAGCAGTTTAGGATAAATAGGTTCAGGTTAGGAAAAGGTTTTGCTAAAATGCAAAAACAAATCAACTTTTGAAGTCAATTTGACAAAAGTTGTATCCCATCTAGACATGACCCAGCAGCACCCCCTTTGCCCTACTTTTCAATGTTTCGCTGATCACCTCCCTGATAACATTTGAGATAGAAATACAACATATAGAGCTAATATGCTTATTTTCTCTACATGAAAGAGAAGCATATCTGTTCTATCTAATGCATTTCTATCTGACTGTTCTGTCCTCTGATTACAGCTAACGAGCTGTGAGTGTGGGTCGTTGATTGCTAATGACTATCACCTGTGGCCAGTGTGATTGGCTACCAGATAAAACACCTGGGGAGGGCAACTAGAGACATCAAGTGCAGTGGTGTTGGTTCTGTCTGTCCTTCGTTTGGGTGTATGACAGTGGTTTTTTGGCCACATACAAGCCAACGTGCCCTTTTGATTTGCTATGATGTGTGTTTTTGGATGTCTGTAAGTATCTTCTGTTGTTTTTAGTTTTTACATTTGAGAAATGTGTGACTTAATTGTTGTATTCTCATTTTAGTGTGACGTGGCTTTTGCTGGCTGCTGCTGTCTCTGGTCAGTTCCAGAAGCCAAGTTCCAAGCCTAGTTCACGTTCAAGTAAGGGCTCCCTAATTGTAGAAGTTGTGAACTTTAGTGTACCTGACTAACACTGCTCAATAGGACTTACTGGTATCTTCTCTCCAGATAATGGTTTGAGGTCTGTGTGTCTTGGGAATGTCATGAGGCTAACATTGGACAAAGCTCTGGCTGTGGGTAGCCAGCTAGAAATTGACGCCATTGGTGAGTAGTTTAAGTGCTTAAGAGTCTTGGCAATTTGGGCGTAAACATTTATTTCAAAGTCTAATCCTCAACTGTTCTTTCAGATGGCACTGACATTAAACCTCTTTCGCACACCTTGGCTGCCCAGTGTGGATACAGCATGGAGTCTGACCCTTGGGGCAACACTAAAGTCTTTGCTTCCTTGTTGGGATGTTATGTCGACAACCAGGTACATTTTCCCTGACAGTGACACTGTGGTTAATAAATGACAACTAGCTGGTCGTCTGTCAACCTTGGTGTTTCTATATGAATTATTCATTTAACTTGTGAACAGTTCATTTAGGGCAAACAACGCCAAATGTTACTTTTTTACATGGAAAATTGGCATTCCCTGTAGTCCCTCTGCTTTGGGCCTAATGAACATGACCAGAACTAAGTGACTTGTTCCATAGGCGGATATGGTGTTTAACCTTGGCCTGCGACTCCGAATGTACAGAGATGGCTTGTCAGAGCAAGTTGAGCATGATGTGACCGAGACCTGTAGTTACTCCCCCTGGGCCTCCAGGGAAATTCTCTGTGACAGGAACTACATGGAGGTGAGGCCATTCTGATCATCCCTAGATTTGGATTTACTGCTGTCTTTGGGGGGTGTAGAAGTTATTGCTCAAGGTTTGGTGATTTGCTCTGTCCTTCAGGTGTCAACCCTCATGGTCACTCCAGAGATCCCTGTCAAAACTGTCATGGGCCAGCAGCTTCATGGTTCCTGGGAGGAAGCCATCCCTGACGTATGTCACCTTAAGATGCTAATTTGTTTTATACACGTGGACTGGCTATACATTTCTTGTCTGCAGTTGCTACCTCCTTTCCACCACAGGCTGTCGTTGCTCCAAACAGCATCTGGAAGTTGATGTTCCACACCCCTGACCCGAAGGTCATGTTGTTGAAGGATGCTCAGCGGGCTGGCTACGGCGCAATGATAACCCCAACAAGACTGGTGATCCGAAGCCCCTACAACATGGCAGAGACTTATTCTGAAGAGGTGAGCATCACTGGTCTAATTGTTTTTCGGGTGTATCACTTCCCTGGTAACATGGCAGAACATGCCTGTAATATAGAAGGGCATGTGACTAATACATTGTCTTTTCTCACCAGGTTGCCGGAGTTCCCATGGAGGTTTTCAGTGTGTCCACTTACTACAAGATTGGTGAATTGACCATTGTGGATTCAGCTGCTGCCTGTCCTACTGGTACGTATGCTGTCTAAAGGGTAGGCTCTGTCTGCGTTGACACAGGCAGCTGATTTCTGCTTGTTTGCTAATTGGTGTCTTGCCAATTGGTCAGGTGGTGTGGTCTTCACTGATGAGGTGATCACCTGGCATGTGCCTCGCCGCATCACCCCGCTGATTTCTAGCGCTGTCAAGATCCTGGAGACCCACATGGGCATCTACGGCCAGAGGCTGGACAAAACCAAGATGTCTGCCAGACACTACAAGCTATCTGTCACGGAGTCTCACATCATCATTGAGATTCCAGTGGGGTCACCCGATGGCTACTACAAGGTCAGGCTACTTGCAAAAAGCAGTACTCGCTGCAACAGATAATGAGTTATTGGACTAGTCCTGTGTTTCAGTGTATTTTATCCATTTGACTAATGAACACAACCTGTATCTTGAAAGATGCTTGATTTATACAACTTCTATTCCTGATTGCAGAGCCATGCCCCAGATTATACATACCACATAACCTACACTGTTGAACCAATGCTTGAGTTGCTGTGGAGGGCAGAAAACACTCATGCTGACACCAGATACAAAGTCCTCTTCCCCATCACCACCCCTCTGATGCCCAGGCCTCCACATGTTATTGACAGTAAGTCTGCTTCACTAGTACTGAAGGCAGGTCTGTTCAGGAGGGTGTACAGTTCACAAATGTTTAGTGCAGAGCTGTAGCCAGCCCAGTCCCCAAGGATGAAACATAACTTGCTGGTATAAAATTACACTGGCATGTCAGGTGTAATTAAACTTAATATTTGCATTTCTCTAACACCTGTGAAGTTCCAGCTTCACCTTTTAACCCATGTTATGGCCTTTTCCTAACCTTTTTCCAGGCACACTTCCTGAGCAGAGAGTGTTTGACATCCTCCTGGGGACCTTCATCCATGATGTGGAGCTGATGAACATCACCTTTACCACCAGGGTGCTGACTGTTGCAGAGTGCAATGCCAGAGGCTTTGACGTCCAGGAGCACCGCTTCGCTAACAGCTCCAAGACCTTCTCACTAAGAGTGCCTTTCTCGGATGAAGTTGTTGTGAAACAAGTATGATTCTATGGTCAAATGTACTGCTGCAATGCCTGACTCTGTAAAAGAACACTGCAAATGTTGTGTACAGGCTCTCATTAAAGAACTTGGTGTTCTGAACACTGCCGCCATTAAGCTTTTGCTACATGACTAACATGTAATTCTTTCTCCACCAACATATGCAGAACCCTGATCCCCTGACAACTATTTACTTCCTCCCTCTGGTCTTCGGTCTGCTCATCCTGCCTGAACACACCCCCTTCCCCCACCCTGCTGAGCTGGAGGCCTCCCGGGAAGATGTTGGTAAGGCCACCTAGGTTAAATCTAACACACTTCAGTAGCTTGACTCCAGGGCCCAGTTAATTTATCTGATTTTAAATGCATTGGAATAATCTGTCAACAATTTGTTTTCTATGCATTTAGTCTTATCCAATAGGCAAACTGGACCCTGGGTGAGCACCCATCCAGTGCTTCAGAGCAATTGTTCCTTAGCTGCACTTTCTGTCTTAGTTCTTCCCACAATCACCGGCAGCTGCGACCAGGAGAACTTCTACATCTCCATTAAATACGGGAGCCAACGGGATAACTTCAAGACCATGATGCTTCATGCTGGGTCATGGCGGGAGCTGGACACTGAGCTGTCGACGCTGTACGGTCTCACTGCCAATGGCACCCACTTCAGTATTGTAGTGCCATTCACTGCCTGCTGCAGCATTTGAGGTATGAGTTCTGATCTATGATTACTTATAATGCCACTTGACTCTCACAAGCAGTGAATTGCAACAGGACTTTATTGAACTGCCTAAACCAGGGGTTGGCAACATGGTGACTTTACTTTCCCCACAAAGTTTAGGAGATTATTTCAACAAATGGCTGTCAATTTAACTAAAGTATGGCAAATGCAGGCTTGGTTTATTTGCAGCATTCAAATGCATGTTCTGACCATCAGCTCAAAGTAATCTGTCTAAATCTAGTTGCCTAACCCTGACCTAAAAGTAACTGTTGCGTTCCAGTTGGTTCATTCCAAATCTGTCAGAGCCAGAGTGGACTTGCTGCTGTTGGAGACTCCTAACATGTGGCAACTCAATGACCTTTCACTCGCCTGCTACTTCCCCTTGACCACAACTGGTTTGTTTTCAGTTTAATATAGAATTGTACTTTAATGCTACTTTGACATAGTTAACACAATTTAGTTAAAATATTACAACTGTTTCATTAGGTCAAGGGACGCTGACTGTTCTACATTTGCTTTGAACACATTTCAGAGTGCTACTCAAACGGCACGGCAACTGCGCTGGCAGTGATGGTAGAATCTGTTAGGAACTTGAACCCTGAATACCTGACCTTGCGGGACCAGTCATGTAAACCTGCCTTCAGCAATGACCGCTCTGCGTTCTTCTCCTTCAACCTCAACTCCTGTGGCACCACAAGAACAGTAAGACTGCTTCTGGGCCTGTGTTAATAAAGCAACAGGAATGCTTATGTTTTTACTTTTAAATCCTGATGAATGGCTAGGGTTTTGATCCTAGGTGTTAAGATTATACTTCTATTGTGAATGACATCACTCATACTGTCCTGGGAAGTTTGCAAATATTGTTGCCTTATCTTTCTAGTTCTTCGACAACGTCATGGTGTACGAGAATGAAATTACCCTGCCATACAGCACAGGCAAACAAAGTAGGAATGGCCAGGTCGCTCCAGAGTATCGGTAAGAATACATGCCACTACATTGTGACCTCTTTTCCGTCCCTTGCATATCCCTCACTGGTTGGATTTAATCATTCAGGCACACTGTCTCCTGCTACTATCTGCTGAACTACACTGAGACCATGGTATTCCGTGCTAGTCCAAGGAACACTGACCCTATGGCAGATCCTGGGGTGGGACATCTGGTGGTCCAAATCAGACTATCCCAGGGTAAGATTGTTTAAGTGATGCTGTACCAATATCAGCCTTGTTCTAGTCAGACTGCTCAGGTTGCTGGTTCAAATCTTACTCTGACCCTAAACTTGACCTAATCATGTTTAACTGTAAATATAATCATTGTTTACATAATGGCAGTTGCCAATCATGTTCAGGGGATGGGGGTACTCCACTCATGGGCTCTGTCTTTCAGATGTATCTTATGACCTATTCTACCAAACTGAGGACTACCCGGTGGTAAAGCACTTGAGAGAGCCTCTGTATTTTGAGGTGGAGCTGACGCAGTCCACTGACCCTCAAATAGAGCTGGTGTTGGAGAACTGCTGGGCCACGCTACATGAGGACCGCACTTCTCTTCCTAGCTGGGACCTCATCGTGGACAGGTAGTAGCCATGTCTTCTGATACAAATGGAGGTCTCTTTCTGGATTTGTTTTAGGCAGAATAACCAAGGGACCTCACCAGAGACTCATTCATTAGTAAACAAATCTACTACTTGGACTTGCCCAAAACCCTTTTCTATTGCAGAACAGTATGTATGCATGACTGAATACAGCCCAGGATTCTGCATGCATGATTTTGATCTAATCTCTTGCCCACTCCTACCCTCAGCTGTGAGAATCTTGATGACCTTTACCTCACTGTCTTCCATCCGGTCATTGCGGACACAAGGGTTCAGGTCCCAGCTCACGTCAAACGCTTCTCCATCAAGATGTTCACTTTCACCAAGGATGAGGCAGTTCTGAAAGAACAGGTGCTCTAGACTGCACTTCCTATGGAAGGCCTAATCTCTTAGATGCTAGCTTGAGTTGTATTTAAAATACTTAAAGGTTCTCTTCTCGCCATAGATCTTTGTTCATTGTGATGCAGTCCTTTGTGACACCACCAAACCTGATGCCATCTGCTCAGGCCAGTGCGTAAACCCCCTGAGGTATGCAAACTCTCTCAGACCAACCGGCTCAAAAAGAGGTATGTCGCTAAGGCTCCCTTGCCCTGAGATTCTAGGGCTCTGTAGTATCACGACTGTCCTGTCCTCCAGACCCTTTTACGTTGGTGTCTGCTCTTGTTCTAGGTCTTAGCGCTACAGATGCCAGCCAGTCTAAGAAGCAGATCTCATCTGGACCCGTTCTTCTGTCTGACCCATCCAACTTGTCCTGGAAAATATAATAAAAAAAGATTTTCATATTTCTGTTTTGGTTGTGATTCCTTTGAGTTAGTAGTGGTTTAGTCTCCACACAAATTGGACTAAGGTTTTAAATTCATTTTGCAGAAGTCTTTCCATTAACTGCTCATGTGCTTGACTAACTAGCTATTCATGAAGACAATTCTACAGTGTGGTGCCAGAAATTGGCACCAGTATCTTTTAGAGTAGAAAATTAAGTTGCAGCTTGGGCTCTACACATTACTGGATTGTCAACATTGCAGACTACTTTAGTGGAATTAGGGTTCCAATGTTAAGACATATCTATGGCATGGACACATTGGCACCCAGGAACAATATTTTGTTAAACAGCCTGACAATTACTGCTCAAATGCATGTCAACGAGCTTGTTGTACCCTCTACCAACTTGGTCTGCTTCAAACTGCTCCAATTTAATGTTTGAGTAGTGCCTTCTGACAAATTGCTGTTTTCAGAGCTTGCCATCCATTTTCAATTGGATTTGTCAGTGTTAATTCTTGACCCATTCATGGGTGCAGTTTGGGTGATCATTCTGGAAGACCATGACCTTCAATGGAGACCCAGTTTTTGGACATTGCACTCAACCTTAAACTAGTTTCTCTGTCTTGTGCACATGCAAGGGAACCCCACCAGCATGCTTAACTCCATGTTTTGTAGGGTCAATCTATACTTTAAATACTTAATTTGAACATGGTGCTCATCTGTATTGCCAAAGAGCTCTACATTTCCTCAAGTATTAAGGCTTTAGGTGGAGTTTTGCAAGTTCAAGCCAGCTTTCTCAGGTCTTCCTGTTCACCAACACAATGACACAGTCAAATAATCTCATGGCGGTTTGACAATGCTGTGGGGTTGCTTTGCTGGTACTGGGGGCCTTACGTGGCCAAGTCATGAAATCTGCAGACTATCAAGGTGTTTCGGCACAATGTTTGTCCAAGAACTGGGTCTGACAGTGTGGGTCTTCCAGCAGGACAAACTAAACCAAAGCACCTAGCAATGGTTCAAGAAATAACACTACTGTTCCAGTGTTGAGTCCTCTGAATCCCATCGAACAGTGGTTGCTGGAAGGCCCCACTCAAATGTTGAAGAATTGGTGTTTGCTGCTGAAGTGGGCCAAATTTCCAGTAAAGGTGCAGCAAGCTCATGATGGCTACAATAAGTAGTTTGGTTTTTTACAAATTACCTCCTGGGTGCCAACTTTGCCCATTCAATTTTAACATTTTCTTAACATTGAGAAATGGTTCTGCAATGTTGACAATTTAAAGTGGAATTTTTCAATTGAATTCACAATTTCTAAAATAAGGAAATAAAGTACAAGGGTGCCAATATATTTGGTTGGCACTATGGCAGAACCAATGGTTGATGCCCAATAGCTACAGTGGGGGGGGAAAGTATTTAGTCAGCCACCAATTGTGCAAGTTCTCCCACTTAAGATGAGAGGCCTGTAATTTTCATCATATGTACACGTCAACTATGACAGACAAATTGAGAAAAAAAAAATCCAGAATCACATTGTAGGATTTTTAATGAATTTATTTGCAAATTATGGTGGAAAATAAGTATTTGGTCACCTACAAACAAGCAAGATTTCTGGCTCTCACAGACCTGTAACTTCTTTAAGAGGCTCCTCTGTCCTCCACTCGTTACCTGTATTAATGGCACCTGTTTGAACTTGTTATCAGTATAAAAGACACCTGTCCACAACCTCAAACAGTCACACTCCAAACTCCACTATGGCCAAGACCAAAGAGCTGTCAAAGGACACCAGAAACAAAATTGTAGACCTGCACCAGGCTGGGAAGACTGAATCTGCAATAGGTAAGCAGCTTGGTTTGAAGAAATCAACTGTGGGAGCAATTATTTGGAAATGGAAGACATACAAGACCACTGATAATCTCCCTCGATCTGGGGCTCCACGCAAGATCTCACCCCGTGGGGTCAAAATGATCACAAGAACGGTGAGCAAAAATCCCAGAACCACATGGGGGGACCTAGTGAATGACCTGCAGAGAGCTGGGACCAAAGTAACAAAGCCTACCATCAGTAACACACTACGCCGCCAGGGACTCAAATCCTGCAGTGTCAGACGTGTCCCCCTGCTTAAGCCAGTACATGTCCAGGCCCGTCTGAAGTTTGTTATAGTGCATTTGGATGATCCAGAAGAGGATTGGGAGAATGTCATATGGTCAGATGAAACCAAAATAGAACTTTTTGGTAAAAACTCAACTCGTCGTGTTTGGAGGACAAAGAATGCTGAGTTGCATCCAAAGAACACCATACCTACTGTGAAGCATGGGGGTGGAAACGTCATGCTTTGGGGCTGTTTTTCTGCAAAGGGACCAGGACGACTGATCCGTGTAAAGGAAAGAATGAATGGGGCCATGTATCGTGGGATTTTGAGTGAAAACCTCCTTCCATCAGCAAGGGCATTGAAGATGAAACAGGTCTTTCAGCATGACAATGATCCCAAACACACCGCCCAGGCAACGAAGGAGTGGCTTCGTAAGAAGCATTTCAAGGTCCTGGAGTGGCCTAGCCAGTCTCCAGATCTCAACCCCATAGAAAATCTTTGGAGGGAGTTGAAAGTCCGTGTTGCCCAGCGACAGCCCCAAAACATCACTGCTCTAGAGGAGATCTGCATGGAGGAATGGACCAAAATAGCAGCAACAGTGTGTGAAAACCTTGTGAAGACTTACAGAAAACTTTTGACCTGTGTCATTGCCAACAAAGGGTATATAACAAAGTTTTGAGAAACTTTTGTTATTGACCAAATACTTATTTTCCACCATAATTTGCAAATAAATTCATTAAAAATCCTACAATGTGATTTTCTGGATTTTTTTTTCTCATTTTGTCTGTCATAGTTGACGTGTACCTATGATGAAAATTACAGGCCTCTCATCTTTTTAAGTGGGAGAACTTGCACAATTGGTGGCTGACTAAATACTTTTTTTCCCCACTGTAGGTTTTTGAATTACTTCCAATTTGTCTGACATGGCCAGTCTTCATCCTTGACAGAGTGTGCAAGCGGCGCCGGAGAAGATGGCTGCCGTTTTACAGCCCTCTAACCAATTGTACTATTATGTGTGTTTTTCCGCGTTATTTGTAATTTATTTTGTACATAATGTTTCTGCCATCGTCTCTTATAACCAAAAAGAGCTTCTGGATATCAGGACAGCGATTACTCACCTCGTATTGGACGAAGATTTTTTCTTCAACGAGGCGGCCGCGAAGGATATCATACAGACACCCGACAAGGCCCAAATCCCCGTCATTTGCGTGAGGAAGAGACGGAGATATCGTGGACGTAGATCGGGGTGTCTTGTAAGGATCCGACGGCGAGCGAGTAAACTGCCTCTTCCATCAATCCTATTAGCCAACGTTCAATCATTTGAAAATAAATTGGATGACCTAAGATTACGGTTATCCTACCAACGGGACATTAAAAACTGTAATATCTTATGTTTCACCGAGTCGTGGCTGAACGACGACATGGATATCATTCAGCTAGCGGGCTATACGCTACATCGGCAGGATAGAATGGCTGACTCCGGTAAGACAAGGGGTGGCGGTCTGTGTATATTTGTAAACAACAGCTGGTGCACAAAATCAAATACTAAGGAAGTCTCGAGGTTTTGCTCGCCTGAGGTAGAGTATCTTATGATAAGCTGTAGACCACACTATTTACCAAGAGAGTTTTCATCTATATTTTTCATAGCTGTCTATTTACCACCACAAACAAATGCTGGCATTAAGATTGCACTGAATGAGTTGTACAAGGCCATAAATCAACAGGAAAACGCTCATCCAGATGCAGCGTTCCTAGTGGCCGGGGACTTTAATGCAGGGAAACTTAAATCCGTTCTACCTAATTTCTACCAGCATGTTAAATGTGCAACCAGAGGAAAAAAAAACTCTAGACCACCTTTACTCCACACACAGAGACGCATACAAAGCTCTCCCTCGCCCTCCATTTGGCAAATCTGACCATAACTCTATCCTCCTGATTCCTGCTTATAAGCAAAAACTAAAGCAGGAAGCACCAGTGACTGGTCAGATGACGCAGATGCTAAGCTACAGGACTGTTTTGCTAGCACAGACTGGAACATGTTCCGGGATTCTTCAGACAGCATTGAGGAGTACACCACATCAGTCACTGGCTTCATCAATAAGTGCATCGATGATGTCGTCCCCACAGTGACCGTACGTACATACCCCAACCAGAAGCCATGGATTACAGGAAACATCCGCACTGAGCTAAAGGGTAGAGCTGCCGCTTTCAAGGAACGGGACTCTAACCCGGACGCTTAAAAGAAATCCCGCTATGACCTCCGACGAACCATCAAACAGGCAAAGAGTCAATACAGGACTAAGATTGAATCGTACTACACTGGCTCTGACGCTCGTCGGATGTGGCAGGGCTTGAAAACTATTACAGACTACAAAGGGAAGCACAGCCGCGAGCTGCCCAGTGACACAAGCCTACCAGACGAGCTAAACCACTTCTATGATCGCTTCGAGGCAAGCAACACTGAAGCATGCATGAGAGCACCAGCTGTTCCGGATGACTATGTGATCACGCTCTCCGTAGCCGATGTGAGTAAGACTTTTAAGCAGGTCAACATTCACAAGGCCGCAGGGCCAGACGGATTACCAGGACGTGTACTCCGAGCATGTGCTGACCAACTGGCAAGTGTCTTCACTGACATTTTCAACATGTCCCTGACTGAGTCTGTAATACCAACATGTTTCAAGCAGACCACCATAGTCCCCGTGCCCAAGGACTCTAAGATAACCTGCCTAAATGACTACCGACCCGTAGCACTGACGTCTGTAGCCATGAAGTGCTTTGAAAGGCTGGTCATGGCTCACATCAACACCATTATCACAGAAACCCTAGACCCACTCCAATTTGCATACCGCCCCAACAGATCCACAGATGATGCAATCTCTATTGCACTCCACACTGCCCTTTCCCACCTGGACA